TTATATCTACACGTGATGTCTAAACGAAGCGAACAATTATTGTACACGTGACCGTTTATTTTTATTATACACAATATAGTAACAAAATTCTATCAACCGGTTTTAATATAAACGTGTCGTTATATAATCTGTTTTTAACAAAGTAGTCGTAGGTATACTTATTATGTGAAAGGAAGCTATTTTATCTACATATACTTAAATAATAAAGCGTAAACACACACTTTGTGGCGTAGGATGTCAGCAATCACAGCATTACGCTTTAAGCTATATAGTTTTAAGCTATTAAACTTAAGGGGTAAATAAATTAAAAAAAAACTTCATGTGTGTAAGGGACCATAGACTACAAGCTGCCAACATTAAGGAAACAAGATTATTATGGTAACGGTAACTAGTAATGAAATATAAAAGAAAATCACTAACATATTATTCACTTGGTTTGGACCCTAAGTTACGGATATTAAATTGGCCATAAACAACTAATCTGGCCCAGTGCAGATTGACTTCACGCACATATTTGAAATTACTTGCGCATTTGTGCAGATTGCGTCAAATGTTATCCGTAAGAAGGTCGGGTAAATTTGAATATGAAATTCGAAAATCAAAAAACAGTAGATAGCGGGATTGTAACTCAAGACATGCAGATTGCAAGTCAGAATCTTAACCCCTGAATTACTATTATTTACATAACTAAAGGCATAATATCTCGGTGACTTCTTACTAAGAATTATTTAATTTATGGGAAAATAATGTTACCCAGTAGAACGATAACAACAATTTGAAATAACAAAAAATAACATTACGTAACTTTAACAAATAGAACAAAAAATCTCAAGTGTTCTATTTTTTTGTTGAATATCAAACAGGATCATAAAGTTAGATTGTAGCCTATAATATGAACATACGATAAAAAAATGGGGTGTCCATAGACTATGTATAGTATAATCCTATAAAGTATTGCGCCATATTGAGGTTGCCAGAGTTTACAAAAAAGAAATTGTGCACTTATGAATTCGTTAACTTTTAATTTTAGTTAATGGATAATCTTAAACTCTTGTGCTAACCAGTATGTAGTAAAAAATAGGAAAGACAAATATCAAGAAAAAATATAGACAAAAAACTTTAGTGATATTGCTAATGCTACAAAACAAAATATTCTCAAAAAAACAGTACACTAAAAAGTAACGAAATAATTCCTTGAAAATATTAAACCTACCTTAATGTAACTGTTATGTCTATATTGTACAATTATTATTACTTTGATGTCGGTGTCAGCCAAGGTATGCACGTAAGTATCTACGTATGGGTTTCCACATTTTTACCATAACAATTGACAATTGAAAGTCTAGTAACAATTAAGTAATGAATCTACATTGACTGACACCGACTTCAAAGTAAAAAAAAAAACATACAGACGAATTGAGTTAACTGACTATAACTTTCGATATTATTATGTCTAGTTCTTGTCGCATATTTCTTCTTATATGTTTTGACAGATTTTTACTAGACTAAAAAAATATTCGGGTGTTACTTTGCGTACTTACTCTGCTCTATAACAAGGTATATAACTGAAAAAATATGTAAATTTCATATAGAAGTAATATTCCGTATTTTTCCGTTCTAAAACGTATAATACATTATTTATAATGTAATGATATAAGTTTTTTTTGATAGATTCTGTCTGAAGTCATAAGAAATATAAATAAAAACCAATGTGGGTCATATGTTAACCCGTTTTTTTGTCCTAACATCCGTCCCTCCGTTGTTCCTCATGGTATTCATAATACAAAAAATACTGGGAAATATATATCTCATGGTTAATTCAACTCGGTAAACAAAAATTGAGATTCATTTTTTATATTTTTTTATTTCATAACTTAACTGAAGGCTTATTCCGTAATGCGTTTATTCGATAATCTCAAATTCGTTTGACATTTTAAGATAGGAATATAACCTAATTGAAATAGTTCAATCCGAATTCGACGTTAAAAAATGTTATCGAGTTTTTAAAGTGTGGCTATGACATAAATAAAATTAAGCATTTTACGTTCATCTGTGGTTTTTACAACAAAAATCTTTATCAATTTAATTACACGTTAATTTTGCATTCACATAACTAACGGGAAGTTTTATGACGCGAATTGAAAAATGTACGAAGTCCCGCCAAATTATGTTACATGGGAATTTTGTGGTTTTTTTGCACGGGTAAAATGTAAACGCGTAGATATAAAATCATAACTTGATGTAAGAATAACCCTAATGTCGCTTTGAATTGCAACCAGCTATATAACCGTCCTTGGAGTTCCACATAACATTTTCCTGCACGTGATATGTTCGCGACGGTTTTTTCAAGATGGCCGATGTTTTTTTCTTGTATGCAAAACAATTGTGTTTTGATTTGTCGATATCTTTTGTTACATAATGTCGGGTTACACGAAAACAAGTTTTTATAATACTTGACAATATAAAAACTAGAATACCTTGTTACCTGCTTGTATTTTAATGTATTTGTTAATAGAATAACAATAAGAAATAGAAAATAAATAAACTGGGGATTTTTTCTCTGCAAAAATATTGAGTTAAGATTATTTGGTAGCACTCAACTTGTCTTGTCATGCATCTGCACAATACTAATCTTCCAATCTTCCATTCCTTCCATATATTCTTTCATCCATGTAACCCATACTAAATTTAATTTATAAAATTTATATTTTGCACTAATAGATATAAACTAAATTACTTTTAAAAAACAAATTCCGAATTCTTCGCTCATAAACTTTATTTATAAATACGCCATAAAAAATGTATAAAATCATCGTATTATGTATAAAAATTGGAAAACAACACAATTTTAAACATTCAACGTAAAAATAAAAAAAAATCAAAGATTATGTAAAGTTTTTAGTTAACCACAGATTATTAAAAAGTTTGCTCTATCATAGTGTCTTCGTCATCATATAGAAAAAAAAACAACAAATTCCAGTAAACTATTCATTGATGACTACAGGAAAATTCATTTTCTCTAGATCATTAATTTATTTTAAAACGTGACTCGTAATATTCAGTTTACCGCAAATCTCGAGCGCGCCAAAACTTCCAATGTCAAACGAAAAAAAAAAACGACCGCGATCAATATGCGTAAATACCGAACCGATTTCGCAGAACTGCAACTTCCTTATTAGAATAGAATTACATATTTTGTTTAGTATAATATTTATTATATTATGTAATCTTACTAATATTATAAACTAGCTGTTCGCGTGCGGCTTCATCCGCATGTAACTATAATTGTTTACATTAGTCATTATCAATTACAAATTTCAAAATGAAATGACATGACAAACCTTAGCAATCTTTCTTGATGTTGGCAGCAACTTATGGTCACTTTCCCACATTAGGGTTTTTATCCAAAATATTTACCCCCTAAGTTTAATGGCGTGAAAATGTAATGCCTAAAGCATGACGTAAGTGTAGGGTTTTGTATTAAAAAAAGAATTATTCAAAAATATGCTGTAATTGCTGACATCTTAGGCAACAAAGAAATGTGTGTTTACGCTTTATTTTAATAAGTATAGAGTACAGATAGTATAGAAGTATAGATAGTATATATGCGAAAGTTTATATGGATGTTTGTTAGAACAACATTGGTAGAACTGCACAGTGGATTTCGATAAAATTTAGCATAGATGTTGATAGTCTTAAAGAACAAATAGGCTACTTTTTTTAACGACAGGACGGATTTCGATTAATTTTGGTATAAATATTCATGATAGTCTGGAAGAACATAGGCTACTCGCTTTTAATTTCACGCACACGGAGTCGCGTGGGAAAGCTAGTTTATACATAAGTCAAGTAAAAAATACACTTATCTTTATATCGTCACCACTGTACGTCTGGTAAAGTCCGACGATAAACAAAATTATGTGGTAATAAAGTATTAAAAATTTGCCGTGTGTGACGTCCACGAAGTAATTAAGAAAATATTATATGATAATTGTTTATTTTATTTGTCACAAATTAACGTTGGTTATCATCTATACTTATATTATTTATTATTATTATTCTTATTTCTTATTTTATTTTTTATTATCCATATCTATACTGTTATAATAAAGCGTAAACACATACTTCTTTGTTGCCTAAGATGTCAGCAATTACAGCATATTTTTGAATAATTCCTTTTTTGATAAAAAGCCCTACACTTACGTCACTCTTTAGGCTATATATTTTCACGCCATTAAAATTAGGGGGTAAATATTTTGGATAAAAACCCTAATGTGGGAAAGGGACCATAAACTACAAGCTGCCAACATCACGGAAGCAAGGTTGTCATTTATGCATTTGAATTTAGTCATTTGACAAATATAAACAATAAAATAAAGTTTTTATAACTTCACGCGGATGAATCCGCAGGGGAACAGCTAGTTAATCATAAATAGAAAATATCTTTAAGTGCTTCTAAATACTGTACATAATTTTTTTTTTAATTTTTTTATATCAGAATTATTAATTTCCTTTTAACTTCAAAACTGTCAGTTTTAAAATTAAAACAAGAAACATTGGTTACCAAAAGCATAAAATATGGTAATCTAGATCCATTCAGGATTATGCAAAACAAGCAGCCAATTAGATAGTTAATGGTTAACAAATTGTAACAAAAAATATGAAGCCGAAATATTAAAGCAAATATTAGGCCATACTGAATTAATTCTTTACACCACACAAATTGCCCAAAGTAACGCTCTTATCAATCGATTACAAATTTCGTCGAAACACAAAAATGAGACAAACACATGACTCAATCGAGAATTAGCTAAAAAATGGACACTGTATTGACACAATAGCGCCGGCTAAAGTGATTACACACAGGGTAAGTTACGTAAATATTCGCACACACGCGCAACATATTTCACTCACACTACTGTCTTCACGCACACTTTGAAGATGCTAGTGTGCGTGCTGCAGCACCGACTCGGTCGACCCCTCTACAAAATTTAGTCGCACTCTAGACTTCGCAGAGAATAGTCGTGTCCAAGTAACTAGAGTACTACAGCACCAATCGCAGTGTACATTTCGTCATAACAACATTGTGATAGTGACAAAAAATTTTTCGGAACGTGAAAAGTGGGAGTGTTTATAACATTATTAATTTTGAACTATTTTCATAATAAACTACGCCGTGAACAGTTTTGTGCATTTCGCTATTTGTGAATTATGACATTGTTCCCACTATTTGGATAATTCCGGATAAGGAGCTGATAATTACCGCAAATATTTTCGTAAGTATTTATAAAAATATTTAAACACCACAAATCATTTTTACATTTAAAAAAAAAACTTCAAAAACTTTTACAAACTATAGTTTGAAAACTTAACTTTTTGAACTACTCCAACACAAAACAAAAAATCAAAACAGGAAAAACATTTACTACTTAATTTTTTGATGTTTAGGATTTTATTGCAGTTGCAAAATTGCAAAATTACTAAAGTTGAGATAGTGAAGATGACAATTATTTAAATGCACCTGCACATTGTTAAAAAAAATTAAAGAGTATTATTGAATTTGATTAAGAGCATAAAAATTTTTTTGAAAATCGATTTCTTTCATTCAATTATCGATTTAAGATTAGATTAAAATAAATTACAATGAGTAATATATTTGATGAGTCAGAGTTTTCGAGCGATTCTTGGTTTCGGTCAAATGTTTTTCCGTTATGTCATTGACTTCTCGCCTCGAATTCTGTTTATTCATGCCCCTTAGTTTCGTGCCAAAATCTTCAACGCTTAAATCATTTCGTAGAATTATATATGTAGCATTTAAATGGCTCTTTGTTATGATCTTTTGTTTGTGAATGTGCTTCCTTACATGTGTTTTCAATATTATCTTTGTTTACACTGTCAATACTACGTATGTTACAATATCGCTGATTATTTTCGTTCGATGACATTATTTTGCACAAATATTTTTACCTGTAGTACACTATCATACTTATTGATACAAATAAATTATTTCTATTTCCTTAAAATACAAAAAAAAATACAACGAACATTTTTTTTCTTATGTCTAGTTTTTTTTTTAGTTTTAATTAGTGCATTGCGTTTATTTGTACGTTGTGTCGCAAGCGGCGCCAGGCAGCTCGGCTCTGTCGTAAGCCTATTGTGAGTCGCTTACACAACTGGTTCAAGGTTCCGATCCAGCGTGCATTCGCCTGCGGATGTGCGGAAACTAGATTTCGTAACTGCTAAATAGTTAACAAATGTTTTTTTTTATTTGTCATGTGTCAATATCAATTTTCATATTAGTATTTTTCAAAATCTAATATACGTGAATCGACTTTAGGACATTAAAAAATTTGAAAAAAAAGATCGCTTGCATATATTTTTTCTTAAAGTAACAATATTTACCTATCGATATACGAATATGTATTTTTTTATGATTTTTTAATGCAAATTTTTAAAAGGACATTTAATCGTACGTTGAATTAAATCGATTCATCGTAAAGGTCAGTTCTATATGACGCAACGTCCCTAGGGCGGCTTGCGCAACGAGCTGCAATACACACACACCGGCGCACACAGACAAAACGCTTGTTTAGATAATCTCGTATTTCTATAAATGTCGTTGAGCAATGTTTTCATACAGGACCGTTATTTAAACTACGTACTGTTAGCAAATGTATGTTTTGACAGACAGTAGCGTTAACAAAAAAAATGACATGCAAAAAAACATGTTCGTTTCTCTAATACAAATACGATATTAAGATAATCGTTTATTCACTCGTAGATAGTAAACTTCGGAACTAATTTTGGTAATTCTCTAAACAGCAATAAACTGAGCCTGTTTCTTATTTGATATTCGAAAAATAAACTATGAAAGTCGGTGTGAAAAACAATTTACAATCGTAAAGATAAAGAACAAAGAATTGTAACAGATAATACAAACTGCAGTATTACTAATGACGTAATACAGGAACTAATCGGCAAGGTTGACCGGAAGGTATTTAAGGTCGAGACTGCATTTAGTTAATCACGCATCATGACTGGCGATTACATGTGGCCATTTAAATTGCGGCTACGTGAATAATTTGTGGTTAACAATTGTAAGCAATCATTATATGTTCATGAAATAATCATTTACAATCACGACAAACGAAAAATCGAAAGAAAAATCCCAGATTTCGGAAAGATGATGTATTTCCTTTGCTGATAAAATCGTATTTAAAAAAAAATTGTCTGCTTGCAAGCCGTGTTTGTTTCGGGTAATATCCGAAATCGTTGGGCCGATTTCAACCGGGCTTTCACTGAAGGGTAGCTGACATAGACGGGCATATTATAGGTTATTTTTGTTATCAATTGGACGTCACTAACAACAGCTAGTAAAGACTATAAATGCCCTTTAATTGAGTACAATGATTGTTTAGTCTGACGATTAAGGTCATGAGAATATAGTTTTATTTATAAAAACATTACTACGTTTAATCGTACGAGTTACGTAAGCGATTTTTCGTGTCGGCGCAACAAGGCGGCCGATAATTCTCATACACCGAGGACAAGCAAAGATAACTTGACCTATTTTTTTTTATCTCGAACACTCGCGTTACTGTAACCTAGTTAGTGATGCGCACGTGAGCATACACGGCCAATTGCGACAATGTATATCAATGTGTGACGTGTCATAGCTCTTAAAAGTACCAACAAGGATATACATAATGGAAATGGTTCGATGACGCAACGATACTAGGAATTGCTTTGAATCGACCTGGCCAAGAGCACGTTTTTATTACTATAAGATTGTAGGCAAACTTAAATTCTCAACCAAGAAGTACAAAAAATTCCTCATCTGAATGACCTGTATGGTCCAAGTTAAGAGCCTAGGAGCATCCTTATTTTATAAACTCACCTTGTATCCTTGTACTTCGTTTGTTGAAGTAAATCGCAACGGCAACGCATATCCATTCCCTTTGGTATTGCGGGTGTCCATAAGCGTCGAAGTATTCGGTCTTCCCGCAGCTCGTGCCACCTTTCCGTATAAAAAATACCTTTGTAATTGTATACGAAAACACATGAGTCATTTATGGTTTGGAATCATTACGATAGCATCTATTCACGTGGCTTCCTGGAACTAACGTAAGGTTACGTAAGACTTGTGTAGCTAATTCTGTCGAATCTAGTGCAAGGAAATAGGCTAAACGTTTCTTAATAATGAGCAATTAGTCGCAGCAGACAAGGTTGCCGCAACTAGGTCTGTGTTATTGAAGGAGAGATTATCAAGAGATAGGGAAATCCCTAACCGGAAAAGTCAGTGGGGACCTTGACATATTTTGTACCGGTACGTAGGTATGAGTTTATCGCACGGAGTTACGAAACGCAACCTTGACACGAAACCGTTATCGCGCAACGAAAGAGGCCACCCTGAAAATAACTCGAAAATCCCGCTTTGTTTAATTACGTGAAAATCTGTCTGCGAATATCGGTCAAGTACAAGAAAATTGGCGCAAAAAAAAATTGTTGAAATACATCCAACTTGAAAGACCTTCCCGATTCACCTTAGAATTAAAATAGTACTAAATAGCTTGGCTGTACAACGGATACGACGAATGATGTGTTTTATAAACATGCAGGTCTTACTTGCGTATACTATCAATGAAGCCATACGTTTCTCGACATGAAACGCATTTAATGCAGACAAATTTGGAACTTTAGTCCATCACCAAATAATTCATTATTAAATTAAATTGACGTTTACTCGTAGATCTTCTGACGGTAAACTGTCAAATCAAAGATGGCGACTGCCCTACTTTTCCCGCGCAATAAACGGCGAGCGTGTGGAAAGTTACGGCTGTACTACTTTCTCTACTTTTTCCAAGATGGCCGATATTGTCTAAGCTTACAACGAAGGTCAATAACATTTTGTTTTTTCTGTTATCAGTAACATACTTTTAGTGTTAATAGACCACATTCTGCCTAAACTTAAAAGATAACGGTTATAATCATGGCAACAAAATCTAAATACAAACTAATCATGATTTCGAAGTTATTTGTCGCAATTTAACAATGCAAAAACAACATTAATGTAAACGCATTTCTTCGGCTTTAATAGAATAATTTAACGCTACAACGATCGGTTGATAAAATTGAATATAATCTGTACTTAAAAGTTTTGAACAAATTGGAAATTCTAAAAATCTTAAGCAATGGTCAAGGTTAATTCGCTAATTTAACAAATCTATTAATTAAATTCACGTTGTTAGATCACGTTGTCACGTTGCAAGTTTATATAACGGTTCAGTTAGGAGTGAGCGTTGCGCAAGCGGCAACGTGAGGTTCAAGTGCGGACACGTGCTGGCCGCCGCGTGACCCGCGTGCTGGCACACGGTAGCACGTGCGGGATGGAGACGCGAGGTCGCTGATCGGTGCTCCGACCTGAACCCAGCCAGGTAGAATAGATAAGGTTAACACCCCCGATACATCGATATAGGAACTTATAGCTTATATATAGCTCTTATAGCTTAGCAAATATTGAAACCCAAAGCCGAATTAATCTAATTTCAAGAAACAACGCAATCTATTTCTATTTATTAAAGATTGAAAATCTAATTCCCCATTCATGGGAATTATAAAAGTCATAGCGTTTAAGCATTTTTTTTATTATATAGATTTTAATTTGATAAAAATCTAATGCTGCGTCACTCGACCGGAAACAGATAGGAACAGAATGTAATTTATCGTATAATTTCTTAGTACATTTATCTTTGGTAATTCCGCCAATTATAAAAATATCGATAAAAAAATTATTTATCTTGATGTATCGAGAAAAATGTCTGATCAAAGGTAGACTGTTGTCATGTTACATAAATTTGAATTATGATTTTTAATATTTTAGATATTTCTTTTTTTATGCCTAAATTTAATAGTTACATAAACCGGGCTAATTGCCAGTCTAGTCTATTAGTTTAATTTCTTTTAGGAAATATTAGAAATGTATGATATCCTCAAACACCATTCTGAGTGGTAAGCATGAGTGCTGCGTTTATTAATGTAATTTAAACTTGTTAAAACGCAATATCATATAATGCGCATTATGTAAAGGGCATATATACCTATAGTTTGTCCGATTAAGATAAATTATCAGTTATTATTCTTTAAAACAAAATGTAATTAATCTACTTGCGTAATAATTTATAAATACCTTATCCACTTAGACGTTATCAGTGTTTGTCAAATGGTATTATCCAATGAGTCACATATAGTCATATGCAATAATGTTACTCGATTAATAAACGATATAAATCACCTTGGTATCTCAAAAATATGTAATAAGTCTGTAAATTTACAAACTAGAACTAGTGTAAAACAAGCGCTTCTTAAATAACGTCAATAAACTTGCACAGATTATAAAAGGTTGACAAATAAATGCAGAGTATAAATAAATCCTGAACAATCACGTGTTCTGACCGCACGGGGCTTAACGTTAGTCCCGTGCTGTACCATCGCTGTGTAACACGTGTTTAAATTGAATTGAATCCACGTGCTTGAGTACATTATATCTTTTACCTCGGCATTTAAATTTATTTCCTGCAGCGCAGTTATTGTTTGGACACAATTATAACTTACCAACCAACCAACAAACCAACTCTGAGAATAATCTTATAAGATTTATCGATCCCTAATATCTATACTAACATAAATGCACTCTTAGTACATTCATTGAATATAATGTAATTAAAAAATTTAACTCACCTAACCTCGAAAATGCACAATCAATTGCATTTCCAATTGCCCAAACCAACCTTGAACGCTTCTAAAGGCAATGACGAAACTAAATAGCTGTTTCATAACAGTATTACGGGTTTTAGACGGCAACGATGAGCATAAAAACCGTACTCTTGTACCGTACGGTCCCAGTTTTTGGTTAACGGTGTGCTCACGAACTCAATGATTAGCTATGTAACTGTCCCCGTCAAAAGCCGCTCGATTGTTGCTGGGATCGGACGGCCACCGTTACTGTGCCACTAATATTGGCTTTATGTTATCTATGGTCAATGTCAAAAAACATCCAGAAAGAACCAAAAACAAACAACATTTATGTTGTCTGTCCTCAAAATGTTAATGTCAAAAACTTCTCAATTATTAACCTAAAATTACATAGAATAATTTTAGGATTTTTGACAAGATAATTTTTATAGAAAATGTGTATTTGTCTTGTAAAAAGTAGCGGTAGATTTTATATCACGATGAGAGCATAACCTTATTATCAACCATTTAACCGTTCGCGTTATACAGACCATCAAATAACGGAGTTCACTTACATCACTCAAACAGAGCGTTGCTTACGATTTGCTAATAATATTAATTCGAACTGTAATATAATAATAAAGTTTAACGATATGAATAGATTAAGTAAATTTATCTGTTAACAAAATTATAAGAACCATTTCCTGATGGCCATTCATAGTTTTAGATATAACGATTAAATATAACAGAAACGTTGATAATTACTATTAAATTATTTTTAATCTAGGTCACAACGGAATAAAAAATATTCTATTAGAGATCATGGGTAGGAATTTTTATTATTAAAAAGTTTACATTAAAACCACTAGTTATTTCTTCATATTGGAATAGAATAAAAAATGTCCATTCAAAAGACTCATCTAACTGTGTAACATAGAAATATCGGAGTAACGGTTAAAAAACGGCTATTCTAACTGTTACCAATGTATGCTTGGATGATTTGTGTTTATTTGTGCATAACTAATGTATTATTATATATCTCAAAGTTTCAAACGCAGTTAATTAGATAAATTAGGCGTAATATTGATAATTTATTTAAAAAAAAAAAAACAATATCAAATACTACATTAAAATCAGTTTTAATATTAAAATCGATTATGAAATTTGATCGATATCATTCTGTCATAAAGATTCAGTAATCAACAATTAAAAATGAACGAATTACTGAATTTTAATTTTCCCGTCAATTAGGGACGGGCGGTGTAGTCGAACGGTCGAATCTAACGGCGCGCGCGCATCTGGGGCGACCCAGTGACACCGAAGTCTGCGTTGTTGCCATCCAAGTTAGGCAAATTGCCCAGATTGCGGTAGATAGCGTGAACAGAGTTATTAATTTTTTCTTTCCAATGTTGAACAGTACGGTGGTGTAACTGGCTGAAAACGAATACCACAGCTAATAGGTAACTGTTACAGATTTTTAACTAAAAAGTAAAACGGCCAGTTTTGTGTTTTTTCTTTGATTAAAAAATAATGTCAATTGAGGTTATATAAAAAAACATGTTAATATTAAGATAAAGATTTTTCTCGAATTTACTTTTTTTGATCCTACGTAAAACATTTAAAATTCATAATAGGCTCATTTGCGTTTAAAAATAATAGAATAGGAAGAGGTTATGTAAAGCTTTCCATGCAATGAGTTTGCTTAAAATTCTCTAGAGACTCACTAATGGGCCTCCTTGGAATTTCATAAGGAGTAAATTATGAATAAGACTGTATAAATCAACATGTTCACGTGTCACAAGCCGCGGAATAGTTACAAATACATGCAAATTGTCTTGTAAAAGCATAAATTGTGTTTTAGAAAGAGCTCTCACGTTGTCGCCCGCGCCGCGTGCCGCGGAACGTGACCGCCTAGCTTTTTTTGTCTATGCTCTAGTCACTAGTCAGCACTAAGAAAAAGGTAGACTACCTAGTTTATGGTTTCAGCACAATAGGCAATTAACGATTCTTTCATTGTTATACTATCGGATGGTTGTCGATTACAATGAGTTTTTAAGACTAGTACTTCCTGTCATTGGTGTTGCCGATGCATTGAGACTTATTAGACATACTTTATATAATTTGAATAGGAACCTATTTAAATCGCTATAGGGTTCATTACGTAAAAGGTGAACGACACTCGTGCTAGAGGACTGCTGATATTGTTAAATAGTCAAAGTAGGCAAATCAGCGGCCACGTTAGGAACAACGTGATCGTATTGCGAAATCTAAACTGTGTTAAGACTAACATTATTAGCCAACATTATTGCTTACCTTTTGTCACATGGTGACCGGCATGCTTCAGTCGCAGTCTCTCGCACGCGGCGCACACACTGCTCGCAACGCATGTGCTAATTCAAAGGAAGCTGACGATATCCGGAGCGAGTTCATTTGTGTAACAGAGGTTAGGAAACCATTAACAAACATTTTGCTAATAACTTGGGACACAAAAAATGGTAAATGTAGCAACGCGATTACACAAAGCTCCACGTGCAAGCCGCAGCACGGGATCTTACGACACGATTTTTGCAAGCGGTCATTTTGTAACTTAGCAACGCCGATTTAGCACGTTATTAATGTTCCGTTTCTTTGGTTACAGAACCACAGCGAGGATCCTTGCGGGCCAGGCGTCGTCCGCCGCAATATGGTCGCCGAATTCATCCTGAGCCAGCAGCAGCTGCTAGGCGCTGGAGGCGTGGGACCCGCTCCCTCGCCTCAGCGCGTACCGCCGCCACCGCGCGCGCGCCTTTCCGTATCCCCGCACTTCCCGCTGGACCAGCCGCCATCCAACGGACCGCCCGGGGATCCCCACGATTACCCTTCCAATTACGACTTCAAGCGTAAGGAGTTCTTCGGTCAGCGCAAGCAGCGCGAATTTATCCCCGACAGTAAAAAAGACGACGGCTACTGGGATCGCAGGCGCCGCAACAATGAGGCAGCCAAGCGCTCACGCGAAAAGCGCCGCTTTAACGACATGGTGCTTGAGCAGAGAGTCGTTGAACTCTCCAAGGAGAACCACGTTTTAAAGGCTCAGCTCGACGCCATCAAGGAGAAATACGGCATCTGCGGCGACAACCTCATCAGCATCGACCAAGTGCTCGCCACGCTTCCCACCTGCGACCAGGTGCTGTGCGGCTCCAAGCGCACCAAGCTGTCGACCGGCGGGCTTTTCCCGCCCGCGCCACCACCGCCACCGCCTGCACCGCCAGCCTCTCCGCCCTCCCCGCCGCCACAGCGCGCGCCGGAGCCCTACCAGGAGAGACTTCCAGCGCCAGAGGCATACTATCCCCACCCAGCACACTACGAGCCGCCCGGCTCCGTTCTTAACCTGTCGCGGACGCGCCGCGCCCTCTCACCTTACGAGCTCTCCTCGCTGTCGGGCTCCGGCGACGAGACGACGGAGCAGTACGCACCCGAGAACAACGGTCTCCCTCTTAAACTGCGCCACAAAACCCACCTGGGCGACAAGGATGTGGCTAGTGCCCTGCTGTCCCTTCAACACATCAAACAGGAGCCGGGGCCCCGCTCCTCGCCTTCCTGGGACGGCGAGGGCTCCAGCGACGAGAGGGACTCTGGCATCTCGCTCGGAGTTGACTACAGGCCGCAACGGCCCGATGACAGGCTCATCGAAGAGGAGGATGCCCACCTCAAGGCAGAGCTCGCACGACTGGCCACTGAGGTGGCGACGCTCAAGAACATGATGCATCAGAACAAGGCGCGTGCGCACGAGCATTGAGCGCACCCGCTTGCGCCGCCGGCGCCGCCGCCCCGCAACACGTCTCCCCTCACATGTAGACGAAGTTACCATGTTGTAAAGAGATGATTTATATTTGTATGATATGCGCAGCTGTACGCGACAAAGTCGCATCGCCCATTTATAATCCTTCCTAGTAGTTGTATGTGTCGGTGTTAGCGGAGGGCCGCGGCGACGCCATGTCGCGGCTCGCCCTCAGACTAAACTTTCGGTTTGCAGACTTTTCGAGCAGATTAAACTTGTCTACTCAGTGATAGATATAAAAAAATGCATTTTTAGTGGTGAGCTATGTATAATGTATATGTTATGTAATAAGTAAGCGAAGTAGATCTGTTTCATCTATTCGAAGATTCGGTAGTTTAAAATCGATGGCTAAAGACTAAGTTCTACCTAAGTGCTAGTTCGTAAGTCGATGTAAGTTATTTTAAGTCCAACATAGATTATTTATAAATTTTAAATGTATAATGTCTTTCTCAATCGGAATGTCCGTTAAGTTCCAAACCAAAAAAAATGATATGAGATAATATCCTCGTATGCTGTCATGAAATCGCAAAATAGTTTCTAAGGTTTCATAATATCCTAATGTTATTCAAAAGTATTGATCAGATTAAGAATACCAGTGCCTTTGACAATACATACCTACCTTTATAATAGTTATTTAATATGATATTTTTGTACATTTCTTAATAAAATCTCTGGGCAACTTCAGTCAGGCTGGACCTCTACCATTTGTTCCCGAAACTTCGATCGGATCGTAAAGCGACTCTTGTTCGAGAAAAACATGTAAAGCGCAAAGCGTTTGTTAATCCAACATCGTACTTCCACAATTACTATCGCCAAATGTGAATATCGCGAAAAATTGCTTTGTAAAATTACAAAATCCTGCAAAGTGTGGACCGCAATTATTTCAGTTGTAAGAGTCTATACTCCTGGTGATGCCCTATAGGGCACGTGATAGGACTGAAGGAAGTTATACTAAGTATTTATTTATTCGGACCGCGAAAGATTTTACAATTTATATCTTTGTATAAGAGACACTATACGATATGAATAAATTGTGTACATTACAATTAAAACATCATTTTATTTTACCAAACCTTACCTCATCCTATATACTAAGGGTCTGTCCCACCACTGGCTGATAGAGCCTCAGATAGCTTAAAAATGTCGTCACTGTCAGATAAGGGAACAAAATCAGATATTTCCATCACACATTTTAAACGTTGGATGTTATCAGACAATTTACAATTTGGTGAGACAGGCCCTAAGTATCCTATTGGTTATAAATTTAAAACTCGACCGTCGATCAGGCGACTAAACGTATGTGTTGCAGTCTACAAAATATGCATAAATATTTGATGAGTGCGATTTACGAATTTCTAATTGGCACGGCGTCTCCGTAAGTAAGTGCTGACAGACGGTTAACGAGTTAAATGGTACGCATTCAAAATAGCAGCTCAATGTAAGTCATACGACAGAAACATACATTAACTAGGGCAAAACTTTTTTAGGAAAATTCAGCATACAAACTAAGGCTTATAGGTATAGGTTACCAGTCCTGTTTAAAACTATAGTCTTCGTAAGAAATGGTTAAGTTAAAAGTACGCAAGAATATAACTCAATTTAACATCTACTTAACTGCAATCTATGACGGATTAATTTGAAATGCGAAAGTTTAGATGGATGGATGGAAATTTTTTGTAAGAGTTTGTAGTCTAAATGGCTGAACGGATCTGGATGAAATTTGGCATAGATGTAGAGCATGGTCTGGAAGAACCCAGGCGGCTAACATTTGTTTTTCTTTTAATTCCACGATAACGGAGTAGCGGGCAAAAGCTTATTAATTCTGTAAAGCTGCTTAACATAACCTAAAAAAATCGAAGAATTTTAAAAACTATTTTATGCAGTGTTCAAACGCACAAATCTACAAAAGGGACCAATTGCGCAATATTTAACGATTCCAGGGTATCAGCTAGTCTAGATAATGTAAAAAGATGGTATCGAAGTGTACGCGGGTCGTTAACATAACTCGTGTATTTCTGTCAGGTGACCCGGTTACAGATTGCGTACACGTCTCAGGTGCGCCCGCCGTGCCTTGAAAACAGGTAAACAATGTAAGAATGCCAAATAATCAATCATCGATTTAGTAACATGTTACACGATTATTTTGGAATTAGGCAGCGTAAGCCGAGAAAAGGTCAAATATTGTGGTTTTTTCAGAAATACGCTGTTTATTAATAGTTCCTAAAAAATTGTAATAGCCATGTTACTCACAAATAAACTATTGTTCTAATGGTGAAAGAATTTTTAAAAATCGGTCAAGTTTTTCTGTGAATCAAATACATACAAAAATCCAAAAATACTAATCTTTCCCCTTGCTAACTGCAAGATAGCGAGTGCTGCAAATATCTGCCTTCGTTAAGTCACTGATAGGTAAACTTGAAGACTAGACGTAATATGACTTTCAGGGCGTCCCACAACTGGCTGATAGAGGCTCAGATACCTTTAAAATGGCGTCCGTGACATCCTTTTAAAATTAAGACAGTGCCGATTTAAAAAATTCTCTCACCGTTAGAAAGATTAAATAATAAAAGAAAAAGGACAGAAGGAAACTACATTCAGCCACATAAAACTTTATTACAGACAGGTAAAATATGATATCGATAATAATACATCTATTACGACGATAGCAAATCGACGTAAAATAAACATCTACTTTTTCAATATTCAATAGAAGCATTGCCCTTTTAAACATATGAAAGCACAATTTTTGATTTTTGTGACAAATGGACAAAATAAAATAGCAAATATTTTTTATAGATTGATTGCTTCATGATTTAACTAGGTTTTGTGTGCAACTTCTCCATGTTATTTAAACCATATTTAAATGTAGAAATTGAATAAGTTATCACTCTCAAAATTAAATATTCTCAAACAACGAAATTAAATAGTTCTTTTATTATAGTTGTCAAATAACGTCACCGGAGATTGTCATTTGTTTTACAATAAAAATGCCAAGGACCTTGTTATATAACAAAGTAAAAAACGATCTTTCTATTTGTGCATGCGATTATAAGACTTATTGGTAACGTTTAACGATTATATTAGCATACTAAATTTATTTAAACACGGGACATTTTATATATTTTTAAAACGATTTCATCGTTTAATGTTACATCACTTTTATAACTACGACAAAAACTTATTATTATTTTAGAAATAATAACTTCTGTTTATTTTGATATTAAAAACAGTTTCTTGACAAAAGAGAGAATTACGAATTAGGTATTTTTTAATCTGTGAAATTGCAACACCGACATTTTGAGGTTATGAATAAGAAATTGATTGTTTTAATTCTAACATGATTATATTTTACACAAGCGTATTACTAAAAATTTATTAAATTCAATATATGTAACGATTATATTATAAAATACAAAAAGAATCAGTATAGTAATATGTAAATAATTTTCATTAAATAGACCTACCTCGTAACGGTTCGTTTTTTTTTTTAATATTTCCTATAATTGAGATCAATATGTTAGTTACCGGTTATCTTCTGCTGACGCACATGTACAAAAATATTAGTGTCTTTATTTAAATCCTATAGAACGAAAGGGACAAAATATTTTTGTACAAGCTTGTCTCTTACATAAAGATTTCTCTTCAATATAATAATAAAATGGTTAAAAAGGAGTTCTTACTTCTAAGTCTGCGATAAACATGTTATAAATGGCTTTTTATTTTAAATACAATTAATCTTAGATATATCTACTTTTAAGGTACAACTTGCGCGATTTTCTATGATTACAAAGGCTGAAACCAAATATACTAAAGTGATTTCTCTACAGACTAATTTAAAATTAAAAAGATACATGACATAGAACACGATAACATAGCGTTGTGGTTAATTTTATTTATTTCTAATTGGAATATTACAAGATTATAGATCCATCGATATGACAAGAAATTAATTCGATAATACACTCATTTAACAGTACATTTCATAATTATCTATCTAAAAGTGGTTTTACATCACAAGCTACATCGCATCAAGCTTCACAGACGTCCGTTGTTGTCGACAACTTTAAACCGAATGATTGACACTGCCCAAAATTACCTGCGGTTGTCTCGCTCGCACTTATGAATCTTTAAATGCGTGCGAGCGGGACCGCAGCTCGGTCGGACAGTGTGTCCCGTCTCACTCGGTGCCGAGACTCGGGACCATTTCGCCGCAGCCGAGGGTATGCGAAGCGTGGAGGATAGACTGCGGCATCGGCGCGCGGAGTTTCGCGGAACTAATTTCATTGCTTTGCACCCATAGTTCCAACTGAAAAAAATGGTAGCATAATATTTAATTGGAATAAAAGGACATAATCTGCAGTTTACATCTTGCCAGCACAATTACTCTAGTTTTAAATAACTGGACTAACAATCAACTGGCATTCAATTCAACTTCAACTGTCCAACTGTACTGTAATTATGAACGAACGTACAAAAGAAAGAGTTAATGAACGAATGAATGAATGAAATAAATCACGTGGTCGAGGGTTCGAATCCCGCCATTCGACTATTCCAAACCATTCCTAGCAAAATCCTATAAATTAATTGTATTTTATTTATTTACAAGCTTTTGCCCGCGACTCCGTCCGCGAGAAATTAAAAAATAGTTCTTTCAGACTATCCAATACATCTATGTTAAATTACTCGTACATCAAATCCGTTAAGCCGTTTAGGCTACAAACTCTAATAAACAGTCAACCCTCCATCTAAACTTTCGCATTTATGATAATAATATGAGTACTTTTTTCCAAAATATTATAACAATAATGCTGATAACAATAAGGGTGGCCATATTGCTATCAGCAATCTCTTATAGGCAACCAAGGTACAGAAGCTAGACAAAAATAGGTAATAGTAAAAGAGTTATTACTAAGAAAACAAGAATCTGTAAATATTAAAAAAAAAAACCTCTGGCGGCATCTTAGCTGGTGTTGGCTGGCAGGTGCCGGCGCAGTGCAGCTGCAGCAGCAGTTCAGCGATGGCCGCAGCCGAGGTGTCAATAACGCGCTGCCGGCACACCGCCACCGCGTGCACGAAGCCCCCGGGACCCACGAACTCGTGCTCCATGAATAACGTCTTCTCATCCCAGTATACTGCCTGAGAATATTGAAGAATAGACCATAAACAACAATCCATAGACAATACTTAGCAAATCTAATAGTAAATTAGTGCAGTATGTGGCCAACCAATTTTTTTTTATTTTTTATAAGGTGGCAAACGAGCAAGCGGCCGTCGGAATCCACCGAAATAGAAAGTGACCGCTGCCCATAGACATCCGCATTTGCAGATGCGTTGCCTACCCTTAATAGACGGAGGAGGAGACGCACATAAATAGGACATTTCCCCTTCCTATGCGTCTCCTCCCCCGTCAAATCCACTTTTCCTTTCCATCCTTACCTCTTAAGAAAAGGTTGGAAAGGGAAAGGTACTCAAAATTAGGCCTGCGGCACCACACTCATCAGACGAAACGCGGAATTGCTTTCACTTCACGCCTGTTTTCTGTGAGGTCGTGGTATTACACCGGGCGAGCCGGCCCATTCGTGCGAAGATGTTAAAGCGGGCTCTACCACTGTTAAAATATAAAACCGTCCAATCCTGGCGCAAGCGAAGGGCGCAGCTAGGTGACCGCCCAGTTCTCTGGACAGAAAGCTACTAACACCGTTCAACCAATAATCAAAGGTAAGATTAGTCTTTGCACGAATGGGTCGCCCAGGGCAATACCACGATCACACAGAAGATAGGCGTGAAGTGGGAGCAATTCCGCGTACAGTCTGGTGAGTGTAGTGCCGAAAGCCTAACTTTAGTCCCTTTTCCTACCCACCCTCTTTCTTATAAGAAAAATATGGGAAGGGAACGGGGATTTGACGCTAGAGGAGACGCATAAGAAGGGAAAATATCCTCTTTATGTGCGTTTCCTCCGTCGATTAAGGGTAGGCAACGCATCGGCTATTGCGAATGTATATGGGCAACGGTCGCTTCGCCGTTTTGGCGGATTGAGGTAACCGCTTGCTCGTGCCACCCTATGATATTAAAAAAAGGATCTAAACATAAAAAATCTTCTAATGTTCTCACTTTAGATGTGATCTTGAAGCGTGTGAAAGGCTTGAGGTAACGTCGATAGCGTATGGTAGCCGCAGCTTGAACCACCGCGCCGCCGGCTGCTTTTATGTTCGCGTACAGCCCCGTGCGCTCGTAGAAGTCAGCACGCGCAAAGTCCAGCTCACGTAAATAACGGGCGTTATTCATGTGGTACAGCAACGTATCTATGTCGTTTAGGAGACACCAAGCTACAAACAAAAAACATTAGATCCTAACAATACGTGTTGCAAGATTGTTAATTCGTTATTTTGCTATTTAAAATCGACAGGCGGTTTTGTATAATACAAGAATACATGTTTCCAATAAAGTATATCACATCTTTTATTATAAAAACTTTATTTTATTATTGCTAATGTCACTATTACCACTACCATAACAACCTTACCTCCTTAATGTTGCCAGCGTGTAGTTTATGGTCACTTTCTTACATACATGAAGGCTTTTTTCTAATGTAGTTACAATCTAAATTTAATGGCGTGAAAAAATAGCCTAAAGCGTATCGTAAATGTAGGGTTTTTTTTAAAGAAAAAAAATATTCAAAAATACGCTGTGATTACTGACATCTTATGCCTCGAAGTAGTGTGTTTACGCTTTATTATATTACTATAGATATGGTTTTCTGAAGTATTTACATTGTAATCAATCAACACCATTCGCCTACTAGACTAAGCTCACTCACAGTTGACTTCCGTCGTCTCCAAGATGCAGGCTTTCTTGCGGAAGTACCGAGCACGGGCGACTGTGTACATCATGCGAGCAAAGTACGCCACGTCCAGAGAGCCGTATAGAAGCAGAGCGCCGGCTGCTAACGCCGCGCCCCATCCCGGCACGCATACCGTCCACATGGTCACTCTGAAAGTTTTACCTAATTCAAAGACCAATACGGATCGATTAATACGTGGTTATTTTATACTATTAGTAAGTTACGAAAGTATATTCCAAACTAGCTGTTGCTCGCGACTCCATTGTCGTGAAATTTAATAATAAAAATATTTAAGTGACAAATTAGTAAAAGCGTAGTTTTTATGGTGAAAGAATTTTTGAAGTCAGCCAGTTTTTGAATTATTTCAATACATACAAAGTATAATTCTTTCCTCTTTATATTAGTATAGAAGTATAGATAACTCTTTGGATAGAATCGTAAGAGTACAAATACTGACGAGATGTAAAAGCGTCATAAACCTCTTCCATATAGTATTTTTCTGACATTAACCTAGTGGAGTCAGAAATACAATGATTCAGTGGTTTTAGAAATGGCCAGTCTGAGGAAATGTTCCATAAATATTGCTATCAAAAAGGTTTAAAGAATATGTGACAAATAAATATTATAAAAGTAAATTACCTTTTTATCCACGATTCGGCAAACACTCAAATCACCATAATAAGAAGAAATTAAACTGATCTTTTCAAAACTGAGGTTTTAGATGATTTTAATTGTAATTATTTGAAATACATTTAAAATGAAAAATATTAAACAAAATGTACAAAATGGTAAAAATAACCTATTTCTGTCGCAGTGGATTTTTTCACGTACAAAATTTAAATGACATGTCTGAAATGCGCGCGCAGTTCGATCCGTGCTGCAGGGACGATGTATCATTGGCATACACACTTACGCTATAATTATCTTTAAAAACTTTGCAATAAGGATCATTTTACAACAAACAAAAAATGCATTAATTGATTAGTAAATACAGATAAAATAACACTTTTAATTTTTCTCAATTAATTCGATACGAACAACATTGATTAATTAATTACATGTAACAATAGTTTTTTTTTTTTCATCATCAACTATACTTGAAAATCTGGTAAAAGAAAATTCTGACCTAACTTTTTAAATTATTAACGGTAACAGCTAAGAAATATTTATTAACACACTTAAGCATATTCTTAACTTTTCTTTGTTATTTAATCATTTTTGTGCATAACTTTTGCACAGTAGCCTCCTTTACATCTGCAAACTGGACTTGAGCTTAGAATTATTACTATGTTTATTAGAACAAAAGTTATATGACAGAAATCGTATTGGTGTAACTACAATATTTATTTAAAAGTAAAACTGGATACTAATTCGTTCTTGTAATTTGTAACCAAGGACTAGAAGTTTTTATAATTCAATGATTTTGGTAACCACCTCATTGCTACTTGATTCCATAACAATAATAAATAAGGTATCTTTCAATTTATTTGAATTTCTATAATACGTCTCCATCTTTTTAGCAACCTATGTCTGAAATAATTTACGCACTTTTTTACTGAGTAGAGATAATAATATTATTAAAATATTGAAAGCAGAGATATATAACACAGTTTATTTAATTTTATACTTCACGACAGATATTTATGACATATTACATTTT